TTGGGCTTTCTTTGCAAATCCTTCAATGAATCTCCAGTAAAAATTAGCAAAACCTAAGAATCCATGCAAATCATGAAGGCATGTGGGGCTGGGCCAATTTTGGACCGCTTCCACCTTTACCGGATCCATATGTACTTCTCCTTCTCCAATGACTAACCCTAAGTATTCAATAGATGACTGTTCAAATTCACACTTTTCAGGCCATAAATAAAGGTCGTGCTGAGCTAGGCATTTTAGGACTTCGTGGACCAAGATCCTATGTTCTTCCAGGGTTTTGGTGAAGATAAGGATGTCGTCAAGGTAAACTGTGACTTTTCCAGTGGCAATTAAGTCAGCAAACATTGAGTTCATAAGGGCTTGGAATGTAGCTGGGGAATTTGTTAAACCAAAGTACATGACCAAGGGCTCAAAAAGTCCTCTGTTGGTTGCAAATACAGCTTTCCATTCATGATCCTTCTTAATCTGGACATTATTATATCCCCATTGAACATCAAATTTGGTGAAAATTTTGGATTTCTGGAGTTGATTAATGATGTCGGTTACCAGTGGGAGAGGATAACAATTCTTAACCGTGTATTCATTGAGTCGACAATAGTCTTGGACAAACCAAAGCTTTCCATCTTTCTTCTTTACAAAGAATACTGGGGAAGCTAGTGGTGATTTAGAGGGGCAGATATAACCTTTATGTAGGTTTTCTTCTAGGAAATGATCCAACTCTTCCTGTTCATTTGGTGACATTGAATAGATTTTGGTGCACATGGTTTCAGGAGCATCAGGTTGTAAATCAATGGCATGGTCCCAGGGTTTGTGTTCTGGTAAACATTCCGATTCCTTTTCAGAAAAGACTTTAGCATGTGTTCAATATGGTAATGGAACCATTTCTTCAAAAGTTTTCTGAGGCTTATCTTTATGCACCGCTTCTGCCAGTTGTTGGGAGTATGTATATCCAGCTGCGCACCATAGTTCTTCTGTCATGTGTCCTATAATCCTAGCTCGAAGCAAAGCCCTTCGTCATTTTCTATTCCCATTGAACCAATATAATGGTGTACCCTCCTCTCTGTACACCTGGATCTCTTCATCTGGGGTAGGAAGGGGTAATGGGATGTGCTCAGGGGAATTTGGTTCTAACAGCTGACTTGTGGTTCCACTGACATTACTCTCTTTTGGTTCCAGCACCTCTTCGATGACAACCTTTCATGGAATTTTCTGAGGCTCCGGGATGACTAAGCATCCTTCCTTCCAGTCAATATTGGGATTGACCTTCCTGAGCCATGGGAGTCCTAGAATGATGTCTTCCAATCCTAAGTTAGTGATTAGGTACTCTAGGAGCTGTGGGTGGTTTTTATTGACAGTAGAATAGAGTCATGCCGAGTGAGTAATTTGTCCAGCCAAATTGGGGATGCCATCAATATTATAGAGGGTTATGGGATGGGAGAGGGGTTTGGTGAAGATTCGATGTCACTGTACGAATTGCTGATGGAGGAACAATCCTGTTGCTCCAGAGTCTATCATTGCTGCACTATTTGTACTCTTGAACCTGCCTTGCAACTTAATTGGTATGCGGAAGTGGGAAAAATCACTAGATTGCATAGAACCAATAGTACACAAAATTGTAGAGGCATAAATAGAAGGAGATGATTTAGAGTACAATTGGGGGAACCAGGCAGCAGCTGTGGCAGGTTCCCACTTTAAAAATTCTGGCAGAGTTCAGCAATTTGAGCAGCTAGCACTTGTTGATTGGCATTTAATTGTTGGAGAATTTGGGCAAAATCAGCAGTGAAAGAAGGAGGCGCAGAGGTGGCAGCAGCAATGGTAGAAGTGGACAGTTCTGGGGTACTGGAGGTGGCTGCAGCAGTGCAGAAGGTTCCTTGTCCTTTAATACCCATGAACTTATGACAGCAGACATTAGCCAAATGTCCTGTGAGTCCACAGTGATTGCAGACATCTCGCTCATGGTGTCCATTGACCTTACAATGAGCTCTGGATCCACAACCGTAGCATTTCCCAGCCATGAAGCTGTGATACTCTTCGGCAGTGCAACGTGTGGTGGTTGCATCAACTTCCATGGCATTGGGGTCTCTGGTAGGGGCAATGAATGGGGCTGGGTTGAAGGCAGTGGTAGTGGGGGTATTTACAATGAACTTCCCTTTTTCCCTGGCATGGGAGACCTGTCAGTTGTCAATGTGGATGGCTTCGTCAATGAGGTCTTTCAGCAAATTGGTGTTGGCTTGGGATGCTACTAGAGCATCCTTGATTTGATCTGCAAGGTGTTCATAGAAACAGTCTCGGAGGTCCTCATTGGAATAGCCAGTGCGAGAGGCATGCTGTTTGAAGGTGGCGGCATAGTGGGCAACAGTGTTCCTTCCTTGCCATAGGTGTTTCAGACTTTCCTTGGCATCTGCTACAGTGTCTGCAGTTTCAAAGCAAGCCTTGAATGCCGCTTTGAATGCATTCCAGTCAGCATAGGTGAGGGTGACTCCCTGGGTCTGGGAGTTGACCTGAGTGATATTTTCTGCAATGGGGGTAGCCCAAATGGCATCGTCTCCTTCAAGGAAGGATATGGCAGCCATGATAGTGTTGACATTGCCAGGCACTAATGCAGGAATCCCTTGAGCCCATAGTTCAAAGGCAGCTAAGAAGTGTCGGGCATCATCACTGCATTTCCCATCATAGTTCTGAGGTTTGCTGACTCCTTTATTGGAGTTGGAATGGCAAGCCATGTCGGCGACAATGTTTTTGAGGGTGTTCTGGCTGTCGGCCAGATCCTTTATGGCTTTAGTGAGATCAGCAAGAGTTATGTTGGACATTTCAGTTTTGGGGGACTCTAATTCAATGTGATTGGATTCAGCTTCAGATTTGGGTTTAGGTTTGTGAGCAGGTTCTTGTTCAACAAATGGAAGAGTGGCAGGTATGTATGCAGGGGATGCTCTGGTACTAGTAGGGTTTGAAATTCATCCTACTCTGGATGGTACTCTAGATGGTGCTCGGGATGCAGCTTGGGATGCAGATGGAGTGATCACAGGGATGTGTATGAATCTTCTGTTTTCAGAAACATTTTCTGGTATCGATATGCTGAGTAGGTAGCGGTTAGGGCACAGGTTCTCATCACAGTCAGCCCAGTATCCTGGTTCAGCTTGGTTGGATGGTACAATTCAGTGTATGTCACAGTTGCTATGGGTGTTAAATGCATGGTAGAGTGCAGAGCAGTCAAAGGTGGCTCTGTAAGATGTGATGGCAACTAGAGGTGGAGGATCGGGTAAGTCTGATGTCCACTCCTCATAGGATCAGTGAGAGAGCTGATGGTACGAGTATGAGATCTCAACCTAATGTTGTGGAGACAAGAGACAAGGCAATGGCACAGATATGAAGCACAGACACTAGCGCAGAGCGAGCGTCAAGCACAGGCAGTGATGCAAGCTCAAGCACAATATAAAGAATAAGGGATCTCAATGATGGTGATAGCTCAGAGGGCCAATCACAATGATCAAAGGATATCAAACTAGTCCCCAAAGACCAAGTCAATATAGGGTGTGAGCAAAGATACAAACACATACCTAGTCCCCAAAGACCAAGAGGTTGAGATGGGGAACTAGGAGCTATCTACAGGCCTATTTATATGAGTTGGAGAATAGAAAGGAAAGAACAATAAAAGCGACAGTGCGAGAAGAAGAAAGTGAAGATATATGTGGTTGTACATGAAAGAACAATGAAAGGGTGATAGTGCGAGAAAGGGATTAGGAATCATAATAGTAAGGATTAGGAATTGTCTTGGCGAGAAGCAAGCGGATGATAAAGCGAATAGAAAGAGAGGCAGTGGAATCATGTGGAAAGAAGATGGAAGTGTGATGTATCAAAGAAGTATTGGAATATTGGAATGGAATGATGGTGTATCATAAATGCGATCATGTGAACAAGTGTGTGAAGAAAGTGAAAAATAGGGGTGAGAAAATGATATAAGTACCAGTGTCACAACAGTGCAGAAGGACATATCTAATGTTCATCCTTCCGTCATCCTTTTTCATTGTTTTATCTGTTCCCTTTTATTTCCTATATGTTCCCTTAAATCATTCTGATCATTTTCTTTTACTTTCCAGACCAACGCCAGGAGCACCTTGATCCAGCTTCTCAAAAATTACTTGATAGTATCTCATCTACCAATCTTAACAAAATGAGAAATTTTCTGCAGAAGAACCTTAATGCAATTCTCAATTTTCATCATGTTGAGGCCATTCAGGAGACTCATCTGGCTAGGGTCCATGCTGATTGTGCGCAGGCTAGTCATTGAATTTCCAATACTGTCTTCAAAATTCTCACTTTGCATTTCAATATTAAGAGAGGCAACAATGAAATCATCCACCATATGACAGCTGAAAAGGAAGCATCTTTCTCAAAATCCAGTCCCATTGACAATAATGCATTTGATGCAACTGCCAAGGTTCCCATTTCTGAACCTCCCATTTCCACTATGGAAACTGATGATTCCAATACTTCTTCTGATGTTTCCACTTAAAGATTTCCTATTGGACCTTTCCTGTTTTATTCTCCTTAGTTATTCATTTCTTGTTCATGGTCCCTCTTTATAGAGATCCCATTACTTTTGTCACTTAATTGCTTCATATGGCTGAGTTACAGTGGGGTTTATAATTGTTTACCCTTCATTCCTATACAGTTCACAGCTAGTATAACTTGTAAACCAATGAGAATTGCAGTTGCCATGTAACTTCAGTCTGAACTTGAACTTTTATCCTTCGAAGATAGGTCCCTATTTAAAGGCACCTTCTTCATTTTCTTCAAAGAATCAAGGAGTTCATATAGTCAAATGGTTACAACTCCTTCATCACAATGAGAGTCAAAAACTCATATTTTCCGAGCAGATTGGGTTCAATTCCAGCTATGGACCATACCTGCTAACTAGACTTATAATAATTTCATTTTCTTGATTCATAAATGGTGAATCCTGTCAATCTGGATTCTCTATTTATGTCATCGAGCTCTTTTATGTCCATATTGTCTAATGGTAAAGACACCTATAACTTGTTATTGCTCCTATGAGTTGTTTCAATATTGGCAGGGTGATCTGAGTTCGATCCTCAGTATGGACAATTAAAAAAAAACATTTTTAACCATTAATCATCAAACCCTCCTTCATTAACATCATCTGTTTCCTGCCAATCCCACTCATCATCTTTGATTTCATTGAAGTCCACCCCCTCCACAATTGGAAGGTGTAAATGTGGAATTGCATCGAATATTGGTCATCTTTCCAAATGTTAGGTTCTTCATCTAAATCTTCTACTAATGCATCTAGTTGTTCCACATTTAAATCAATTAACTCATGGATGTTATCAGGCAAAACAATTGGTTCATATTGAGCCACGTGCAGTAAGACTCAGAAAGCAGCAACCTTTTCCTTGATAACTGTTCCATCCATCTCCGCTATGATATATGCTCCCTCTTTTGTTCAGTGGATCACTATCATTGGACCACAATATTGAGGATACATTTTTCTATCTAGATTCTTTTCTATACCAGAATTCCTAACCTGGACCAATTGTCCTGGTTTGAAATTCCAGTCCTTAATGGTGTTCCTATATTTTAGTTCAAACAATTGAAGATTTTGACATTTAGTCTCATCAACTCAATTCATCATGGCTAAAACAAATGTTCTATGTTTGGACAGGGCTTGAGCACAATAGCCAATAAGTTCCTCTCTTGAAAGCACACAATTCAGAGGGTTTACCAGACATGTAGACTTAACTATATTGAAAGGCAAAAGTGGTTCTGCTCCCATTACCAAGAAGTATGGTGAACACCTGAAACCCTTTTGTGGAGTTACTCAGTCAGCCTATAAAACCATTTTTAAGAAATAGGACCATTTAGCCACATCCCCTCCAGTCACTTTGACCACAGCCTGTCATAAGTCTAAATGTGCCCTTTCTATTTTTCTGTTGGCTTGCAAATTGTATGGGGAAATACAAATACCTCATATTCCATATTTATCCTGTAACTATTCAAGCATTGCTTTCATCTGCAGAGCATTATCTGTTACAACTTCCTCTGGACATCCCCACTGACAGATAATATCATCAAAGAACCATTCACCTAAAGTATGCACATTCTCATGCTTAATGGACCTAGCTTCTGACCAAGAAGATAAAGGATCCCTTCCATGTACGAGATATTGGCAACCATTACTGGCTGGAGAAATAATCATTGTATCAACATGGACCTTTTGAAATAAAGAAGGTGTATGTGTCAACACAGGCAGCATTCAAATAAGTCTCATTTGATGATCCTGGCATGCTTGACAAGAAGAGACATACCACTGTACATCTTTCTGCAAGTCGAGCCACCAAAATTGTTTCTCAATTAATTCTTGAGTTGCAAATACACCTTTATGTCCCAGACTATCATGTGCCAAATGGAGCATTTGCATTCACTTATCACAATTGACTACCAATTGGGGCTGACTTTCATCATCAGGCCTCCTATGATACAATCTACCTTTATCATCAACAAAGAATTTCTTGGCCTTCCTAATAAAGGAAGTTATCTCTTTTTCAGACCAATCTGAGATCTTGTCCATTTCCAGATCAAGATGCATTCCTTAATTAAAGGTAAAAGGTTATCCATTTCATTTCCAGCCTCAGAACAGTGCTTTAGTGAATATGGATTTTCCTTTTTAAACTGGCCTCCCTCTTTGGGTAGGAGAGTCTTGTGAAAGACAGACATTTTCATGCCTTTGTCTTCATACAATTTATCATGCTTGAACTTGAACATACATTCTTCATCAATAAATTCTTGCAAGTCCAACTCATCTAACACAGGACTGGTAGTCAAATATCCACTTCTTGTATCAATTTCATGCTTGAATTCATCAAATTCATAAGGCACTTCAGTGACTCCTTTGGCCATCCTAAAGGTAATTGGTTCCCCATTATTCTCATCTACATAATCTTTGGGATTTATAGGCAGGCGTGGTGGCTGCCAACCCCCAGGAGTGATACATGAGAGTCTGTCTGAGCCATGCTTAAGTCCTTTAATATGGACCAGCTCAAATTGATACTTTTGAATATCCTCAATCCATTGATTAATGGTTGCATTTGGTCCACAACTTGGATGGTCTAGGATTCCTTTGATATAACTAGCATCTGTTTCCACAGTCAAACATCTGCATCCATAAAGTTGATAATAACTTGCTTCTAATGCCAGTTTCAAACCATATAGTTCACATTTAGCCTGTGAGAATCTTGCTTCTCGCTCATTTAATGTCAATGATCCAAAATAGCAATAGCATTTCTTTTTGAGGTCATTAGGGTCCCTTTGGTAGAGATACCAACTGACCACTTTATATGATGTATCAATGAAAAGATATATGTCCCAATCATAATTGAGAGGCCGCAAGGCTGGCACATTTTGTACACCTTCTTTTAATATATCCATTGCTATTTCTTGAGCAGCACCCCATTCCCATGGCATATTACTTGTCAGCTTGGTTAATGGTTGTGCTTTCTTTGCATAATTTTCAATAAACATTCAAAGTTGTCCAACAGTACTAAGGAAAGCTCTAACTTTGGTCTTGTCCCTGCACCTAGGCCAACTCAGAACAACTTCAGCAATTTTATCTTCCAGCATTTGCCCTTCATAAGTACACTTATGTCCAACAACTATTGTCTCTTCACAACAAAGGTATGCCTTGATACCTGAAAAGGTTCCACCAGCATATTTAATGTGTTGAACAATGCAATTCAAGTTTTCAAAGTGTTCCCACACAAATCAACAGATACCTGAATTCCATGGAATGGTTTCATATCCCCACCAGGTAGCTCATATTGAGTCAGCGGTCCTCTAACTGGAACATTGTCAACATAGGGCCATGTGATGTGAGGAATTTCATCCCATAAAATATAGGTAACATCATCATGGAAAATGGGTACTGAATTAGTCCATCCCATAGGTAGTTTAACTAGCCTATGCAGACCAAATGGCATTTGGAAAGTTGTCAAATCTCTTGAGGTAACATGCAACAGTCATTCATCATATCCAACATACATGTCTAGGGTTCCTCTGCATGCATGTCCAGTGAAATGTCTTGCAACATCAGCTGTTGCAGGTGGAATTCCTGAATGTTGAATCATTACCTTATTTAATGGTTCCAGACTATGGACGAGTTGAAGACTCTTTCCATCTTTCTTTACCATGCAAAACCATTTCAATTGATAGCTCACACTAGAAGGTTCATATAGAGAGAGCTTGTGGATAAGCTAGTATTCAAGTAGTTGAGAAACTATGTGAATTGTCTGTAATATGAGTTGAGCTACAGTATTTATACTAAAGCTACTAAACCCTATAACAACATATATTGTACCCCAAAACATGTAGTACATAATATATTGGAACATAATGAACCCCAGAGTATGACTACTGACAGGTATAAGTAATGGTTCATATGTTGTACAGCATAGTATTTGACATATGTAGATAGATCAACAAATAGCATAAATGTAGCTATGAAAGAGCTGTAATATACAATCTAATGAGTGATCAACTACATACAAATATGAAACAATATATGTGATTGATCAGATCAGTGTAAGTACTAATTATAGTCCATATTGATCAGATGATCTACTCATGATGATAGATGTAAGCACTAATATCATTTCAACACTTCTGAATATTGATCACAGGTGAATGCACCTACTGAGCTAATCTTTCTTCCATGCTTCATGCAGTTATAGGAATAGGCTCAATGCAATATGCATGAACCTATCAAGTGAACTATGTAAGATTTTGACCCCCGAAACCTCCAAGTAGTTGTAATGTAAATAATCTTTGAGCTTGGTTATAAGAACCCACACACTCCTCACACATTCAATGTGGGGCACATTCTCAAAGTCACACTTTGTCATGAAATGACAAGGGTGCCGAAGGTCCAAAATGCTGTGCATGCATTGTGCCATTGGACTTGGCATTGGAGTTATCTGCCATGGCAGATAACTTCAAGAGTAGCTTTGGTTGCATCATCAGTTCACCATTAAATATACTATTAAAAGCTCACAGTATGAATACAAGCTTATATTAACAACATATATTTATTTCAATCCATATAATGTAAAACTGAGACAAGTACAGACTGTTTGGCAGATTACAAGTGCATGGAATGGAATGCCGAGTTTCCGCTCTGATGATTCTGTGCCTGATCCAAGGCAGGCAATTTTGAATTGATCTAATTTTCGCAATTTATACAATTTTAGTTAGTTTTCATTACATTGATGATTGATGATCCAGGATCCACAAGGTAATTTGTTCCAGTCACTGAAAAGGGCACAAGTCCTGCCACGCATTAGCATTGGCCCACTATGTGTCAAGTAATGCAGTTATCTGGCCATGGGAACCCAGCTAAATGGTAGGTAAGCTAACCTAACTTTCATGGGAATAGCGTTGTCCACGGAGAAGTCTCTGATATCTTCTGGCCAGGCTATATGAGGATATATATTCAAGAAAGCAAAATATCTCTCCATATTGCAAGTGGATATCTCAAAATGTCACCAATTGCAAACCCTCGAATTGTTTTTGTCAAGCGTCCCCAATCAGGCCTGCCCATGGCTGGAACTCATATTGTGCTTGACAATTTGCATACTATCAATGTCAATAATGTGCTGTTGAATGGAGGATTTCTTACTAAAACACTTGTTTTGAGGTAAGCCAAGTTCATGGCGATGAAAATTTATGCCCTCTCAAGTCCTGAACCTGCTATGTGTGAGCAAATGCGCGATCCATCTATCACAAGCTACACAACCACATACATTGTTGGAGCCCATAAAACCTTTCTTTTCCTCAATTTTCAAGTCATTTATTTATCCTTAGCAGTGCGGCATTTGCCTTCATAGTGGTTATCTGTTCTGAAAAAGAAACAGTCAAAGTCGGAGATTACATGTATGGACAAACACCTTGGGAGGCCTATACAGTGCAGCCATATGTTGAAGGTAAGATACTTGTACTTTAATATACTATACTCATTATCTCCCAGGCTGAGTCAATTTTAAGCCAGACAATTGGGCTCCTAGAACATTCGATATGGACTCTTTGGCGTTGCAGA